TGTGAGAGCTGCACTTGGTGTGTGAGTGCTGCAATTGGTATGTGAGTTCTGCACTCGGTGTGTGAGTGCTGTACTCGGTGTGTGAGTGCTGCACTCGGTGTGTGGGTGCTGCACTTGGTGTGTGAGTGCTGCACTCGGTTTGTGAGTGCTGCACTCGGCGTGTGAGTGATTCACTCGGTTTGTGAGTGCTGCACTTGGTGTGTGAGTGATTCACTCGGTGTGTGAGTGATTCACTCGGTTTGTGAGTGCTGCACTTGGTGTGTGAGTGCTGCAATTGGTATGTGAGTTCTGCACTCGGTGTGTGAGTGCTGTGCTCGGTGTGTGAGTGCTGCACTCGGTGTGTGAGTGCTGCACTTGGTGTGTGAGTGCTGCACTCGGTTTGTGAGTGTTGCACTCGGCGTGTGAGTGCTCCACTTGGTGTGAGTGATTCACTCGGTGTGTGAGTGCTGCAATTGGTATGTGAGTGCTGCACTTGTTGTGTGAGTGCTGCACTAGGTGTGTGAGTGCTGCACTCGGTGTGTGAGTGCCATGCTGTGCGGTGGTGTGTCGCCATTTGTGTGGACTAATTCTAGCTAATATGTAACTCTGTTTTACACGGTCTTGTTGCTACCACCTGGTTTACCTAGATATATACTGTAGTCTACCGCTCTACCTACTTTTAATTCTGCCTAATTTCTCTCTTTCAACGCCGTGCTAGTGTATCTCTCAATACCAAGTCTTCTTCATCTGTTACCCCTATGTTTAGATTTGAAATCCCCTCTTCTCCCTTTATAACCCCCCCCCCCCCTCCTCTTCAAACCCACCTATTTGGGGATATGTTTCTCATTTACCACAGCACAGGTGTATCTAAACTTATTTCACACCTTATGTCGATCAAGGATGTGACGTGGAACTCATCTCATCTCATGTCTCTGCAGTCTGATGCGTTTTTATCACACGTGTCTTGTTGTGATGAAATTGTGTCGTTTTCTGTTTCAGGTTCTGTTACAAAATCTGTTCTCAGTTTAAACTTGCAATTTTTTTTCCATTTGGAATTTATTGTCAATCGTAGTGTGGTATATATCAATAAATCTTCCTATGATTACTATATGATATAATTAAAGTTTTATTTTTTTCTGAATAGATTTTTTTTGAGATGATTTAGTTGTTTGTTGCTGGATATTTTCACCTCACCCTTTAGAACCACTCTGACATGGTTAGTACCTGACAATTGTGTGATCAGTTGCTAACCATATGGGCGGTATACAAGCACATTATTTCAATTTATTTAATTTATATTGTATTTGAATTGATGCAAGCTTAGAGATTTCAACTGTTTCGTGATTTTTGTAATGATTTGGCGATAAAAATTCAAAGCATTAAATCAGAAGTTTGACTTCGTGATGATTTTCCGAATTTTTCCCATATTCATTTTTAACCGTTCTCAAAATTTAAGGAATTTACTTGAAATTAAAAGTTACTTAAATTTACTTAATAAAAAATTAAAATTGGATAAAAAAATTAAAATTGAAGTTGCTCCCCAGTCTGCAAGGATATCTGGGTCTAGTAAGCAACTTTAGCAAAATATGATCCCAGCGGTGGACTAGTAGAGACTAAATGTGAGGTGTGGGTACACGTGGGCTACACGTGCGCTACACGTGCGCTACACGTGGGCTACACGTGGGCTACACGTGGGGTACACACTGCACGTAAAGTTTGTGTTGAGGTGGTTACTACTCTCTAACCGCGCAAAACTACAGGACTATCCAGAGAATCACTACTAATCGCTCTGCTATCCAACACCAAGAAATGTTTTAAACTAGTGTAACGACTTCTCTCCCCTCTCTCAAAAACAATAGTCTCTCATTTATACAAGCTTGTCCTCTAAACCCCACATATATTAGCACTCAACATATTCACAACCATTATATTCACCCAGTCCAGCTCCATATTATGTAACAATAACATTTATAGGTCACATTGTTTCTCGTTTAGATATGTTTACCTTTCAGATGACGGCTTTTGAGAGGTGTTTGTGAAATATATGTCATTAGGTGAGTCCCTCTCTCTCTCTCTCGAGCCCCTGCCTTCAATGTACTCACATATACTTACTACTTAGATACGTGCAGCTGGTGCGTTATTATAATGCTGTCTCTTATTCTGAGACCACGTTAGTCTCAGATTAATTCGGTGGCTGCTTCACGCTCCTCAGACTACACCGAGCTTCGATATTTGATGATGGTGGTGATTGTTCTATGGTTTATTCTATGCTAGCTACGAGATAGGAGTTGAAAAGTCTTTAGTTATCGTTCTATTTCTATATTAGTCCGGAAGAAGAAACGTTCAAAATCCACTTTATCAGATAAGCTTCTCATTATTTCGTTGTGCCAGTAACTAGGTGATGATTGTTTTGCAATGCATAATATAAATTATCCTTGAAAAGCTAAGTTAAATAAACAGATTCGCGGAAATTATTCAGCAGTGAAACGGTTAACCATGGCTCACAATTTACACCGAGAATGGCTGTTTACAAAGCCACACTTATAAGTGGCGATTACATGATTTGGAGTGGCGTGAGACGCTACTAGGACAGTATAATGTACCAGTGGATCTATGAGTTGTGCAACGAGCGGTGCTTGTTTTCATGACAGTTTTGTCTCTCTGCTTTTAATTCATCTTAATAATGTCTGACAACAACAATTTTCAACTGTTCACGTTTCCGGTGGTATCTGATGTTTTTCTGACATCTAATTTGGGTAAAATCGTTGTGCATTTAACGCTGCCGTGGCTGAGAAGTCAGAGAGAATATATGGATTTTGAATAGGTTATTGAGCTGAAATTGACGATTTGAACTCGTATGGCCTGAATTGTACAATTAAAAAAGTAAACGAGATGTCGAGACTGAACAGGATGCCGCACTGGCTTTTATCCTATCAACATTGTTCTCCCTGCTCATAATTGCAACTATTTTCCTTGTTGTAACTTGACCTATAATTTAGTCTAGGTAACTTAGCTCTGGTATCATACCTTACTTAGCTAAAACTGTTTCTTGGGCTGCTACGACGTATTGTTATATACAACTTAAAGTTGGGCTTTGTTAGCTGCGCCAAACAATTACAGAGGATTATATCCCATGTGTGTAACTACATAATGGAGACCAGTCGTTCATTTCAGAAAATTGCGGCCGCACATTTTCTGCTGTGTACTGCTATTTTCATCTCGCACTACTCCCAACTTAGGAGAATATGCCACTCTGTGGTTCCTAATCGATCATTAATCGGACAATTAAGAGAAAACCGGCGGAGAAGAGAAGTGCTCGGCCAGCTTCACCGGTTGTTGCAGCTGCACGTTCTGTGGTCGTCCTGCCGTGTGTTTGGGCCGTCTTTACTTCCGCTGCAAAATATATCCTTGTGTTTGACTAATGGAAGAGTCGGAGGAGAGGGAGAAGTTAGAGGGACGGGGGGACGCGAATGTGTTTGATGCCCTGTGTAATCATATCTGTTTGTACTGCTGGCAATTCATGGTAAGAGTGTCCTTTTTAGCTCATAAACTTATAAACTTAATTATTATTAAGTTAATGATAATATCGTCATAATTCATATTCACTGTAGTAGTCGCACAATCTCAATAAGGTTTCATTCATATTCCCGAAATGGATGAGAAGGTGAAAGAGAATTTGTCAATAGTTTGACAAAGCTGCGGAAGGTCAGCATTCAACTTCGATATGAAATGCTACGGATTAACAGAAATTTGGTTAATTTCTTGCGAAAACTTTTGGAAAAACAAAAATAATAATATAATAAAAGTTTACAATTTTTGTCCCCACGGCCCACATCGCCAAACCATTTTTCTTTCATTTTATTATACTTTTGTTTGTTCGGCCGCTTTTATTAACACTTTATTTCATGATAAACGATTTTGTAACAAAGTTCTGTGTTGCCCGTAAACTCAGCCTTTAATCTGTACTGTCCTACATTCATTGATATTAAAAAACTAACCTGCATGAGCGGCAAGATGGCTTGCAAGTTAGTTGCTATGGAAACCTCTAAATCTAAATAGTGTCCTGTACACTATTGTGTTGTCAAATGATTTGACAACATTGCAGCTGTCCTACTATGTAATTTTCGCTTTTCTCATATGACAGCAAAATCTTTTGATTTTATTTTCGTTATTTTGTTCAGTCTGCACTTAGATACATCTTCTTCACTTACATTGTTTTCTGCTCTTCCCTGTAGTATCATTGGAACCATAATTTTATCCCCGCTTAAATTTTCCTTCCTAACCCTCCATGCCTCTTATCTAGGCAGTGCTAAGCGGATGTCTGGCTGAACACTAGTACGTGCCGCGCCGCGCGAAGCAGCACGCACGTGCACAGTTGTTGTTGCCATAGCGTCCGCCGGGATAGTCGTCGCCACGACGGGATGTAATCTGTCCCGGGCTCGGTCCCGTCACCACCCTTCTCACCGGCGTCATTTGATGGGCAACGATAGGGACCAGATATGCTGCTGTATGGGTTGCCTCAAGGTGCACTTTGTTAGTTACAATCTGTGCTTACATCCTGCTATTTTCATTATTTTATAATATTATATTACAACCCTTTGATGATCAATTATGAGAGAGTCAATATTTTGGGAGTTTATTTGTTGCTTTTTATACATGTTATACGTGTTGTAATAGCACCCACATGCTATTATTCGAACATTACTGATTATTATTATGTCACCTTTCAACTGATTATGGTGCTGCATTCAAATTATAAATTCTAACCAAAAATCCTGATACTTCGCCTAATTTGTAAACCATCTGTAAGGTTATCAAAAATTTAATTGCATTTTGGTCATAGGTAATAAAGTTAAATTTATAAAAGCCGTAATAATAGATATTAATGGAAAATTCATCAACCCATTAAACCTTAAAAGTGAATTGTTTTACTAATAAATAAATTGAATTAAATAAATTAATCGAATTTTAATGCTGATCATAAATTGTCGGATCGTTTTTTTAACATTACCATTTTTCAGATCTACAATCTACCTTGTTTGCCTACACCTATTCCTGACCCGGACCATAGTGAGTTATTTGACTTATCAAACAAATTTACTATCTAGCTGATAAGTATTGAAGTTATACCCCGCATCTCCGCAAAAATCAGCGATCGATCTTAAAGAACCTTCCAGAAATCCTGGGTTCAGACCCACGCTCAACATCATATGAATTAAATCTGGCATGTTATTGTCCTATCCAGATTAAACCATTGTTTTCTGTCTAAAATTTACAAAGCGAATATTTGTCCACATATTTTCCACATATCTGAATTAAATCCTTTGTTAGTTAATCTGGGTGTTAGACGGAAGTCATAAGGCCCCTTTGTCAGTTGATTTGGCTAAAAGTCATAAGACTTTGCCAACAGGTGAGCTTGGCTTAACGATTCAGTCCAGTCGGTATTTGTTGATCGCAATCGAAGCGATCATGCCTCGTCGTAGCCTTCAAAACATATAAATCCGTCGAAAAGTCGCCAGATGCATCTAGAATCTAGTTGGCCAAAGCTTTGTGAATCAATTGGCATTTAGAACAACAATAAAAAGTATTGAACCATCTGTTAAGTATTTGATAGCAAAGTTCGATCCTTTGTTCATTAATTCTGCGAATGAAATCTATGTCTCCACCTCGTACAGCTAGCCTCGTACAGCTAGAGCGAGTTTATTTATTACTAGACCTCAGTTTACGTTTAGCTTTTGACAGTTGACACCTCTCACATTTCACAATCTAGAATTCTAGAATAATCTACAATTGGGGCTCCTAAATGGTCTTAGAAACGTTATTGAGGTTAGAAAAGTAAAAAAGTCTTTGAAATAAAATTCAACTTACATTTTACTCGGAGCAGCAGGTTTCAAATTAAAACAAACAGAAAAATTCGGGAAATTTCGGAAAATAGCGTGATCGGAAAAGATAATTTAAAAAATACTAACCGTTGGCAAAGTAATAATGTTTTTATTTCAATGTCTACAAAGGGGCGTGATCACTACAAGGCCTTATCTTGACGTCAGTAAAATTTTGAATATTAATTTTGACAGTGCGAATGCACGTGCATGCACGCATACCCCCAAGACTAAGAACTGGTCAGAATACAAGCTTCTTTTTTATTATTTATACAGCTTCAAGTTGATAAGATGAGATACTGATAAAATGTATTTGGTTCAAGCTGTTACCAATACTGGTTACGGTCAGTGCTCATGTAAACTTCTGATGGCCCCCCGAAATTATCCTGTCATCTCTAGAAATCCAGCAACCACCTAACTGCTGTTATTAGGATATCTGACACTGTCTACGTCATTTTGTTAATATGGTTCGTATTACTGAAATTATACAAGTCACGTGACATACGAGTCATGTGACATACGAGTCATGTGACGGCGGGCGTGGGCTTGATAAATTGCCATACGACCAGACGGCATAATTTCTATAGGCCGCCACCGATGGGAAGTATTATATGAATGCTATGCGGGGTGTAAATTCAATATATTATTTCGTTAAATGTACAGTTATGTTCGACTATAATATTATGTTATTTTCTTATCTCAATAGAACCTTAAGTTTGCACAAGATACGCAGTGCTTTCATTAAATCCAACTTTAGAATGTTTATAAACATTTCACAAATAAAGCAAGATTGTAAACACTGCAGAACATTTCAAGACAATCCAAAACAACTTGATTCATTACACCGAAGCGAAGTTACAATATGGCAACCCGACCATGGATTGTTACTGATATTATTATTAATTTTAACGCGCACGTTTTAACCTCAGTTCTTAAATTTCTGCCGATTTGTTTGTGGATATTGAATAACCGAACAAGGATTGCGATTCGAGTTCATTCATACATCTTAAAACGTGCTCACTGTTCGCTGGCCACTTTGAAATGCGCAACAACTTTACCCGCGGTACAAGACCACCAAGGTTAGATAACTCCACCGTAAAACGAACTAGATCACTGTTACTTCCTCAACACTTAATGATAACCGATAATCTAATTACTCGCGCAACAATCATAAACTTCCTATCAAATTTCAATGAAAAATTAACAATGGTCGCCCCGATTGTTTATCAATTAATTATATTCTGTAAGTATTTAATTCACTTTGGACTCCTGCTGTTGAGAATTTTCTTTGGTACGCATGTGTTTTGATTTGATTCGATTTTTTGTTCTGAACTAGCCAAAATGTTCGACACTCAATATTAAAGACATGACTTGGTGAAATTCATGGTTGAACTCTAAACTCAATTAAAAGTATTATACTAAAATATCAACCTTAATGACTCAGTTTACACTTGACCTTCTAGTTATATCAGTCTTTAAGCAGCACATACAGTTTATAAACTGTATCAAAACCTAATGACTAATTAATTAATTACCAATGACTAATGAGCTTCTTATTAATATGCTTACAAATATGCTTCTTATAAATATGTAACCCTTTATCTTTAAGATGAACGCATATCTAAGATGAAAGACTGATATTTCGCAACTGATGAGTCGCAACTGTTGAGTATCAGTAGTTCCGATAAATGACCTTACATACCTTAGCTATGGGCTCTTTATTCCTTACTTGAACTTCGTAGTTCGTCAAAAAGGATACACAAAAACCTATTGTACTCCAGCGATCCTATTATAATATAATAATATAACAATATATATAATAATATTAAAAATACAATGGAAAGTTATTTTTTAGATGAACATTTATTCTCGCATATTTTTCGTTACATGTGAGTCAGATGTGACTGCAACAGCTTATGTTAATGGTTTGTGGTACACGGTCCTGGCGCTCTCTCTTAAATTATGATAATTTCATAAATATTTACATAGTTCTGTTTTATTACATAAATAGATAAATGAAATCCCGAATACACTCATCGGAACTTCAAATATTCTTCAGCTTCGTCATTGTTGCTTCTTTCGTCCTTTTCACATGATATCATAAATTTATCATGAATCTCAGCTGAAGGAGATACATGAACAGAATAAAAAGTGTGAAATGTGTTTGAAATACCGCTGTAATTACCCAAACTCCGCATGCAATCTTAGATACCGCTGTAATTACCCAAACTCCGCATGCAATGTGCGAGGAAGCATGTTTCTTTACTATTGCCTGACGTCAGTTAACGAGATTGCCTTCACGATAATACGCTTTCATAATGATGTAACGTATTCTTCCAACTTAGGACCAAATTTAGATTTTTATCGTTTCAACTGATTACTTCTTTTGTCTGATGAGCATTTATACAGTTTATATAGTTTATTAGTTTTGTTTTCTGTCTTAACTTTTGCAGGTTTTTCCAATTTTCAGCTCATTTGCTTGCAGTTTGTAACAAGTGGTGGGTGATGTCACGCGACTACTGACTAATTCCATGAAATGAAATACAGGATTATTATTCCGCTTATATCAACAATCCAAATGAAGATTTCCGATGTCAAAGCGACTGGCTTAATAAAAATTATAGTTTTAATCACGCTTATCTTAACAGCGCTGTCAATACCGCTTAGTGTAACTTGCTAGAAATACGTCATGGCCTCATAGAAATTAAATGTAAGTCTCAAATGTATACTTTACCAGGCTGCTGGTAAACATCAATCCTCATACGAGTCGTATAACCAATGACATATGTTCAAAAGCAAAACAACTTGATTCATTACCAGAGTTAATAAAACTATCACTTTTGTTATGAGGTCACACGATCACATAGCCGCTACTATTATTAATAATTGATAAAGATTTACTTAAATTAATTATTAAATAGGTTACTGCTCTTAGTTTTGTGCGTGTGGCCGAATCTGCTGCTTTGTATGAGCAGGTAGGTATCCATGGATCCGCAACATAATGACTGCCGGTTTCTGACAAATGTGCTTGAAGACTATTTTTTAAATTCTGAATTCTCTCACCCATATTTCTTTTTGGGTCAAGAACTATCGCTGAAAATCGTCAGAAACCATTAGAATCAATCACCGGCTCCCAGAATTCCCCTTTTTGCACCCCTAAAATTCCAAAATTTGTCAAAAATATGTCATAAGTTTATTAAGTGCTTAAAAACCTAGGATTTTCGAGTGGTCTTTAAGCACTTTTGTCATAGAACGGCAGATGTATGGGGTGATGTGGTTTGATGGGAAATCCGATCAGTCATAAACATATTATGATCTCGAACTTAAAATACAGCCGCATTTATTTTATCTGTTGCCGCAAATTCGCTTTGAATTTTTGATACCGCGATTTTCGGATTTTTGTCCCGAAATTAGGTAGTGCTTGTCTCGGTGCAGTGGTTTCTTTTTTCCTCGGATTACAAAGGTCCACATATCGGCTCCATGATACAAATTTTCTTGAATACTTAGTCATCTACGCTGCCTTCAACCTATCAAATTTACATGTATCTAGTCATGCTAAGATAGTTCTAGAATTGAAAGGTTGGTGGATGGTGCTATCTATTACTAGCCAGGCGCTTATCTTTAAAGTGGAGCACAGGGGAGCCAATATCTTGATTACCATGGCCCTGCCAGACCCCCTCACGTGACTCCCAAACAACTATTATAACCCTACCTGCACGTGCAATTGTTGCGCTGCACGTGCCTTGTTGTGCGCACGTGCACGTTCTCTGACTGATTTCTTACTTGAATAGATAAACTCAAATAAAATTGATCTGATAGTGCTTAGTTCCGGTTTATCACGTGATGAATTCATTATTTTCATGGCTCATTTAATGCTCACACCAGGCTCTCGCCTGGACAATTGTGCCGCTCTTAAATTATCATTGGTTCACCGTCTTAATATCTTTGATCTCCTATTAACTTATTAATAAACAGCATATATCCTGATCTATCACGTTTTTAGTTCAGATATTCGACATATTGGTAGTTGGTACAGTTAATTTGGTCCATGAATAAATCAAACATCTATTTAGAATCTAAGATATAATGAGTTTATCATTCCCAAACTCCGCATGCAATCTTAGCTAACCGATCCGAATATTCAGTTACAATTCAATATGGTATGTTAATATGGTTCGTTTCCAATTCGAC